TGCCCCCCTGCCTGTGAGCCGGTGTGGCTGGGGACAGAGGAGCCATGCAGGAATCTCCTAATGGCTGCTCACTCAACGCTGCCCCAGCAATGCACCTCCTGCATGTGAGGCTGCACTGAAGGAAGCGGCGCAGGGCTCTGTCACTCAGAGCGGCAGCAGGTGCAGGAGGCATGATGGGAGTGCAAGGACATCCTGGTGCAGCCCCGCTGTTCCCAGCCATGCTGGGTCTTGCCTGCAGGGCTACAGCAGCCCCATGGGAGGGAAGCAGGGAGGGAGCTAAGCCCACAGCCTGCCCCCCAATACAGCTCTGGAGGCATGGGTTCCCCTTGCCTCCTTAGACTTAACAACACTGAGTTCCCAGCTGGCTCCACATCTCCCTGCTCCCAGCTGGTGCCTCCATGTGTGGCTTCCCTTAAGGGCTGCTAGAGCTGCTTCAGTCTTACCTGCCCCCATCTTGGCACTCCATGGCCGTGAGTGGGGAGATGTGGAGCCAGCCGGGCACTCCATGTATTTCCCAACACCTCCCTGCTCATGGCTGGAGTGCCCGGCAGGCTTCACATCTGATGATGTCATCACCCAGATCAGGCCTTCCATTCCCCTCCCTGGCACCCTCTACTTGCCTCCCCCTCTCCCCCTCTCCCATAGCTTCTGGCTTACTTAGCACTGTCATGGAAGAGCAGGCAGGGAAGGGGAACCTGCCCACCTGGGCACTGCTGTCACTACGGCTTCTTTCTGGACTGGGCAGGCAGCCACAAATAAGCCAGGCTATGCAGATAAGCTGGGAGGAGGCCATAGGCTCACAACACCAATGAACTGCTGCTACCTTTGGGGTGTTGTGAGATGCTTATCCAGTGCCCTTGGCAGATGAGGTGAAAAGATAAAGACAAGTTATCTCATAAAAATTACTATGAGCTCTTCATTATCCATTACTATAGAAAGGAGCACAGGTTTTAGGTCTTAACTTAAAGTACCATATCTGTACGTACATATATTATTATTTTGTTTAGTATATTCCATATGATTGAAAATGGAATGAAGGAAAGGTGCTTAGATAGCTCTTTAAATGCAAAGAGAACAGATTTCAAATTAATTAATGCAGTATAACATTAATCAAGTCTTCTTGAGAAGGTTTAATTTAACAAGAAAGTCTAATAGATTTTTGTTGTAGTTTTTAAATTAAGGCAATTTATATCAGATGTCTTTAACAGACAAGAATATTGCACACAATAAAATTAGCTCTTGAATCATCTTTTACTCTAGAGATTTGTTTTTAAACCACAGTGCATGAATATTAAAATCTGTCAGGGAATATCCAGGAATCGTGTGTAACAGTTAAAATCCTGATCGTTATTAGAATTATAATGATCAGGTGAAGATAAAGCTTTTTTTTTAATATAAAGGTTTATATTTAAAACAAGTGTCCTGATTTTCGAAAAATGTTGAGCATTGCCAGCACATCCCATTGATGGCAATGGGAACTAATAGGAGTCTTCTCTTGAAATGTGGGACTCTTAAGTACTTAAACATGGTTTTAGGAGCTTTTTTTTAATGGCCCCGTAATTGTTCCTTAAATGTCGATCCTCATCAAATAACTGCCCATAGAAACTGTGCATAGTTTTGGATAATCCATTATATCCTCACTAAATTAGCTGAGAATTGAATTCAGCATTACAGTTCTCAGGTCCTGGCATGCGCAGCTGTAAACTTTAAATTACAGCAAATCCCGGGACGTCATTCTCCCCCTGTACTCGGCCTTAGTGAGGCCGCAGCTGGAGTACTGTGTCCAGTTTTGGGCTCCACAATTCAAAAAGGATGTGGAGAAGCTTGAGAGAGTCCAGAGAAGAGCCACGCGCATGATCAGAGGTCAGGGAAACATACCCTACGATGACAGGCTGAGAGCCCTGGGGCTCTTTAGCCTGAAAAAGCGCAGGCTCAGGGGTGATCTGATGGCCACCTACAAGTTTATCAGGGGTGACCACCAGCATCTGGGGGAACGTTTGTTCACCAGAGCGCCCCAAGGGATGATGAGGTCGAATGGTCACAAACTACTTCAAGATCGTTTCAGGCTGGACATAAGGAAGAATTTCTTTACTCTCCGAGCCCCCAAGGTCTGGAACAGCCTGCCACCGGAGGTGGTTCAAGCGCCTTCATTGAACACCTTCAAGATGAAACTAGATGCTTATCTTGCTGGGATCCTATGACCCCAGCTGACTTCCTGCCCTTTGGGCGGGGGGCTGGACTCGATGATATTCCGAGGTCCCTTCCAGCCCTGATGTCTATGAAATCTGTGAAATCTATGAAATGGTGTGCCATTCTTGTGTAATGACTCACATCTTCGATAAGAAACCATCTATTAGAATGGGTTACAGGCAGAGAGGTGATTAACAAAACAGTTTGGTTAACTTTTCCCTGAAAATGCAGCCCTTCAGTTTTTATACTATATATAAAATAGCTACTATATTTAACATTTATATAAAAGTTTCTTACTAGACCAATATTTATGTTTTTTCCCTAAATTTGAGATAGGTTTAGGAGTTCAGGAGTAAAAACACAAAATAAACACATAAAATCTCCAAATTTAGGAAAAATCTTCCTCACTAATAAACAGGCCTCATAAAAATCACAACTGAGATTTGTGCAAACAGCTTTTATTTTAACCAATCCACTTTGATAGTCCCTAACAAAAGATGTGTAAGAAACATTTTGGACCTGAAAAGAAATGCATCAATCTAGACAAATTTAGCTTGTGAGCACAGTTCGTTTCAAACTTTCCTTCAAGAGCAATGGATACATTTTACACTTTTTAAAAATACACTGTTGCACACTACTTAACCAAGAGGAAAGTTTGATATGGTGACTGATCATTGCTCTCTCTCTCTCTTTGCACATTAACCTGCAGAAGCAAGAAGAGCTTTTGGATTTTTCTGAGTCAAGACCAGGATTCTTCCTCTGCCACTCTGTTTGGTTGGGTTGGATGTGCAACTTTACCTGTATGGCACTCCATTTCCCTTCCCAATTATTATCTGCATCAGACTGCAAGCCCTTTATTGCCATGCCTGCACATATGTTCAGTGCCTAGCATACAGAGACTCTAATCTCAGTTTGGGCTGTGTACTATTATCATGGAAGTAGGCTTGGCTGGATCCAATTTTTATCTATTAACATAGATTTCACCTGCCAGTCACACACCACCGGAAAAATATTTCCTCCTATAATAATAGAAATTTACAGAAAGGAGATGTAAAATAAAAAAGCATCTGGGATGGGGGTAAGGAAATCCAGGGCAGAGGGTGCCATGCATACACACACACACACACACACACAAGACACAAACACATAGAGTGGCCGCCCAGCCTAAGGTGGGAAGCAGCTACCCAGTCCCTGTGACCCCTAAGGGGCCGAGCCCCACCTAGCAGGCATTGGTGGAAGGGCAGCATGGCCCTTTGATGGCCATGGCCTCGCGCCCCTCCAGGCAGCATGGGGGCAGCAGGTACGCCTTGGGGGCACCTCTGTGTACCCTGCCCTGATCACACTGCCTTTCCCTGTGTTCCCAGAGCTCCTAACTGGCCTCGCCCCTGCATGCTCAGGGCAGGCCATATGGGAGTGCCTCTAGAGCCCAGCCATTGTCACTGTGCTGCCCAGAGGGGTGGGAGGCCCCTTTGCTGAGCCCAGCTAGGCAGGGCTTGCCCCCTAAAGAGCTGCAGGAAGGAGGGAGCTGCTTTCCATCCTGGGCTGGTGGCAGCTGCCTCTCCCTGCATTCTAAGAGCTCTGGAGTGCTGCTGCCCTTCTCTTCTGGTCCTTGCCCACCCAGCTTTTTCCTGATGAATGAACAGAATGATTTAAAGCAGGTATGCTTTACTGATTTATGGATATTTACTTTATATAGTTTAATGTGATTTTATAAAGCTTTTAACAGTATACTGTCAATACTAAAGTGTCCGCTCCCCACACTCCTCATTTTGTGCAATCCTGAAAACAAATCTATAAACAGCGATAAAATATAAAGAAATGCTTAAAATAAACATCAATTTTAGCCATCAACATTGTATAAAAAAAATAATCATCAAATTCTGCCAAGTCTACATATAAGCAAAACAATACTTGGTACTTTCCTACAAGAAAGCTACCAAATTTGTGTGTACATTACCTCCCTACTGAAAAATAGGTAAATTGTTTTTACATGTTGACTTCCACTGTGAACAGCAGTGGGAACACCTGATAATTTGGGCCAGCTGCCCATAATGTATTAACCTTTTCTTCACTAATTATAGCTAGGAGCTCAGATTGGAGGAACTCAAAGTGGCAGTATGCTCTTAGTTAATTTGGATTCTGCCTACTTCAACACTTAAGATACATGCTACAGTATAGCAACAATAGACTACACTTTGTCTCTGAATGCAATCTCAGCAGTTATGTCCTTTTGTCACTGGCCAACACTGGTCACACATACATAAGTCTTTGCAGGATAAAGGCCGAATATATCAAGGAATAACCAGTGAATATGGCAATTCAGGTATTGTTACCTTATGTATCCCCCAAGACAATATTTAGAAATCCTCTCAAGTCTACACAGGTTTTTGTCTATAGTAGAAAATTACATTTTAAGAAAGGTCTTGCTTCACAGCATAAACAACTGTTGTAACAATTGTTTTGCTTTCTCATTGCAGTGCTCATACATCCCAAAAAGAATGGAGAACACCAAAGAAGTTAAAAAATCAGTACAGACCGTTGCAGAAAATTTCAGAAAGCATCAAACTGCGATTTTTCCTTGTTATTATGAACCAAAAGAAAGAGTGACAAGCGTCATTTTAAGTAGACCATATCAACTAAAGGACATATTTTTTGCTTTCCTCTGGCCTAGCCTCATGTTAATTGGTGGGATTCTGATTGTTGTCATGGTGAAAGTCAGTCAATATATGTCTGTACTTGCTGCCTGGCAGTACAAAACAAACATCTAATGTTCACAAATTCAAGCTAGAAAGTGCCTTTATTCTACCCACTTCAGTCTATTTTTTTTTAAACATACCATCATGTTAGCTACTGTCACTCAGTATAATACACATACATACACTTACACCATGGGTTATCAGGAATTATACATAAAATAGAATAGGTATCTGAGATGAAATCCCATGAAATATATAGGGACCACTCTGAAAGAACAGAAATGATTTTATATTGCTTGAGCCAATTTTTTTTGTGGGTTTGAAACATCATTTTTTTACAGAAATTAGATTTAAAATTCTGCATGCCGGTTTGCTGGTTACAAATTTGGTGTCAGATTTTCAGAAAGCAAAGGCTAGGTATCTATGGGCCTGTCTATATGTGTGTTTAGTCCAATTAAATTTAATGCACATTCAGCTAATGTGCAGTAAGCGATTTTTGGCAGGTGGCTACACGTGCAGAGCCTTGGCACTAAAGTTAGTGCCAAGTCCCTGCAGCCCTGCCATGTGCCTCTAGTAGCTGGGCAGACCGGGCACTAAAGTTTGTGCCAGGTCGCGTCTACATATATGTTTATATGCTTTAACTAATCATGCCTAAATTTGACACCTGCATTTCCAGATGTCTCTTTCCATCTGTAACTCACATATTATGTAGCATGATACTGTGGAAGGGCACTGGTGGTGCCTGCTACTTTAAGTGCTGAGCCATACAGCCAGCAGGTGCTTGATTACAGCAGCCATTTTAGAACTTTGGCCACCTATATAAACAGAGCAGTTTATATTGTTGCAGAAACATCGCCTGGCTGCAAAGCTCTATGCAACATCTTGGAGGTAAGGGCAGGAGCTTAGGGGGATGGTTTGGAGGCTCCTGGTCCTGGGCATGACCTAAAACTGCACCCTGCTGGGGATGGGTGGCCTGGTGGGGCTCCTAATGGTGCGGGAGTCCCCTAGAAATGCCAGGCCAGGGACCACCCTGGTAAAAGGCTGGTCAGGGCGCTTTAACCCCAGCTCCCACAACCGGGTGGGTTACCCCATAGTAGGGCCAAGAAGGTGGACACATGTCAGAAAGTGGGCTAGAGGCTTAGAAGCCTGACTTCAAACACCCTTGACTGGTCAATGCTGGGGCCAGGACCAGAAGGGTCAAAAGGGCCAGAGGCCCACTGCGAAGAATGCCCAGAGCCTGGGGTTCTAACAGGCCTTGGCGGTGAGGCCAGGGCCTGTGTGGCCAAAGGTCCTGTAGTGGCCAGGCTCGAAAGAGGGAAGAGTTCAGGGAGCTAGGCAGCCCAGAATGAGGGCAGAGTAGATCACCTGATTGGAGGATTATGGGGCCCAACGTGGGGCCGGTGACATTAAGAACTGCAGAAGCCATGTGCGAGGCTTGGGCTGCAACACAGGGGAGGAACAGAGCCGCAGATAGCGCCCCTTGGCATCAGGGCAAGAATGGGCAGCCTCCCACCTAATCAACACCATAATTATGTATCATTAAGGCATGGCAGGAAGGAGGCAGGTGGCTGGCCCAGAAACAGGTGAGCAGGCTAATGACAGACCAGCCCTGAGAGAGACCACTGTTACAGATACCTTTTTATCTGTATCTAACATATTACATAAAAAAGTAAAGTGAAGGAGACAAAAAATGTAAAAAGCATGATTACGTTGTGAAAACACTAGGAGTATTCACACATGCAGGCAAATAGAAGCGGTGCAAATTTGAGCCAGGACTTTTTGCCTCGGCACACATGCCCGGACATACACTTTTGTGTGGGCAAGTTGTGCCACCTGGGGCAAAATAACCCTGCCCAGCTCCTCCCAGATCTGCAGCCAGGGAAATCTAGAGCTGCTGGTGCCAGCACTATAAAAAGTTGCCCTGTTGGTCCCATCAGTACAAAAAGCTGCCTTGGCAAGTAGATCAGGGCTTCTTGCTCTCAGGAGCTTCTGGGGCCTGGCCAATTGGTACCTGGGGACACTACCATCTGGACTGCTGAAGCAGCCCTGAGAGTTCCCTGCACCCTCTACCCACTGCAGCAGTCTGGCAGTGGGGGCTGCTGCCTGGCTGTGACCTGCTGCCACCTGTGACAGCATGTGGGCTCAAGGCTGTGCACCTGCCAGACCCAGATGGTGATTGCACAGCTGCAGCAGAGGCATCTGTACCTCTGGGGAAGCTGCCAGTGAGCTGTGACTGCACGGTTGGACTTTGTGTAGCACTGCTGCCACGTGTGCCACCGCCTTACCATCTGGGCAGCTACTGCTTGGAAGATGTTCTCAGTGTGGTGGCCTGCTTTGAACTGTCAAAGCCAATTGGGGGCCAGGAGGTTAACCACCTCCATCTGGGTCCTGGGTGCCAGCTCTGAGCTGGCACCTTTGCATGGGTCCTACCTCTTGCCTCCCTAGCAGAAATTCCGGTGTTCCCTATTTGAAAACTGAAAAATCCCTGATAAAAAAAAAAAAAGTCACTCTGTAAAATACCCCCAAATCCCTGTTCCTCCACAATTAAAACAAAAGACCGCTATATACAGACAGACAGACAGATAACGATCAGGTGGGCAATGTTCTTTGATATATCTACAGTGTTAAACAATTTGGAAATCTACTAGTACCTCTATCATGATAATGAAATTATTTTTAAATATCTTTATGTTTTATATTTGCCTTTGGTTTTCTCATCATAGAGCAGTTAGAGCTCCCCTTGACTCCTTCACTAACCAGGATGTGAGGACAGTTTCCCCTGCAGCCACAGCTCCTGCCAGCAGGTCTCATTCTGTCTGGCAGCTGGGCATGCAGGGTGTGTGCTGGGGGACATGGTGTGTGCAGGAAGGAGGTGGGAAGGAGGTTGGGGGATGTAGGTGGCTGTGGAGGGATGTGGGGGGCCATGGGGTGTGTGGATAGGTTTGAGTGGATTGTGGGGGACTGTAGGTGGTCTGCTCAGGAGGGATGGGTTCCCTGCCCCCCACAAGGCACAGCGCCTCCTGCACAGCTCACAGACTGCCCCCCAAACAAGGGCTACAGCTCCCTCAATAGAGGCCCATACCCCCTGCAGGACCCATGTGCACCCCCACCTGGCTCCACCCCCTGCTTGCTCTCCCAGCCCCCTGGAGCACTGGCACACCTGGCCCCACCCCCGCCTGCTCCCCCAGTCCCTCTGATGGCTGTTCTGCCTGGCCCCAACACCCATCAACTTCCCCAGCCCCCTGGATCACTGTCCCTCCCAGCGCCATCTCCTGCCAGATCCCCAAGCCCTCCTGATGGCTGACCAGCCTGGCCACAGGGTCCCGGCACTTAAAAAACAAAAAAAAACAACAAAAAAAAGTCCCATGGCCCCTTGTAACAGAGCCCCCACCCCCACATAGCCCAAGTGGCCTCAAGTTGTCAGACAGCACAAGGCGCCACATGGCACCTGCCGAGTTGCACTGCATCCACACAGTGCAGTAGCAATGCAGGTGCCAGGCTGCCGGGGCTGATCCCTGCTGCCCCACGTGGCATGGGGGGGCTCTGCCATGAGGCCTCAGAGGCCCCAACAGCCATTGCTACAGCTGATAATTACAGGGAGTTCTGGGGGGTTTTTGTGTTTTCTTTTTACGTGCTGGGAGGCTAGGGCTGGGTAGGCAGCCACTGAGGGGGCTGGGGGAGCAGGTGGAGAATGGCCCCAGGCGAGGCAGCAATCTAGAGGCTGGGGGAGTGGGTGGGGGATGCAGCTGGCAGGGGTCCCACCCTGGTCTCCTCCCCCCTCCTCCTCCTACTTATCGTCATGGAGCCCGGGTCCAGCTCCCTGAGATTGGCTTCAGCACCAGGGTGAGGGCCAGTCATGGAGGCGCTCTGGCTGGCTCTCAGAGCAGCTTTGTGGAGGACCTGAGCCTCTGTTTCCTCAAGACACAGTCGGGGACCGTGCCCTGCCCCACTTTTTTTTTTGCCCAGGGGTATTTTTTGACCCCTGGATATTCCAGGGTCTAATTTGCAGTGCAGATAACATTTTTTTGTTTCTGCATGTGTTTCTTGCAGCATGTCAAAGGGTTTTGAGATGCTGCAAGAGGCACATGTGTGCTCATCTGGATGCACGCATTAAGTCTGTTGTTTGATCCATGATGCTACAGGAAAGGAGGACAGTAAGTTTATGCCAGCAGAAGAGCTCAGGAGAGAACATGACTTGCATACAATTTAGTGGCAAAGAAATTTCTGAGTAGTGTGAACACTTCTGGTATTTCTCTGAGCTTCAGATACATTGACTGTCCTCTGAAAATGCCTTTGTTTTTCTCAGTTCAGTTTCGAATCCACTACAGGGTCAATTGGAAATACAGAGACATTTCACGTGCATTGTATTTGACCGTCATTTGGGACATAAACACCACATGCCTTTTCATCATATAGTTTGCGAACAGACTTGTCAGCAGTTATCATTTATGAGGAAAAGTTTCAGAGCTGTACTGCAGATTTAAATCTATTCTAGCCCCCCACAGGAAACCAGTTTGTTCTCAGATGTATAAAAATCTCTGCCGTTTTCTGAGAGAGATGAGGTGAATGCTGAAATAATGGAGGTAAATTCTCCAAACCTTATAATCTGTTAAATGTATTTTCTGTTTTCAGTGGGGAAGTGACAAGTCAACATACATCAGAAGGAAGCAACAGAAAACTTCATGTATGCCTAGGACACTAGCGGGAAACCAGAGCAAGTGACTATCAAATATGCATCGTTAGGATCAGTAGATCTTTGCTGAACATAACCCTAATGACCTGAATTTCTCCTAAAAGCTGGGGGCTAATAAGTTGGGAGTGACAAAAAGGGTAAGAACTAAGTATATTAGTCAATAACAGAATGCTTGTGAGCCACCTGCATAGGGTGCATCCCGATGAGCACGCACATTCTGTTTGTGGTGCCTCAAAGCAGTTTGCACACATGCACCCATTCACCACATTGCTAATTTGCAGCACAGCGGTGGGAGGGTTTGACACTGGGAGATCCCAGTGTAAAAAAAAACACAAAAAACTGAGGCTGAAAAAAGTGTTGTGGCACACATGGCAGCATCATGCACCACCAGAAATGGAGCCTGATCGGCCAAAGCCAAGCTCTGGATGCTGGCCAGACTCTGAGCAACCAGCTTGGCACCAATGCTGCCCCAGAAGGCCGCCAGGTAAGGCTTCTGGGGCTAGCACAGGTGCTGGCCCCAGCCTTCCCTACCCTACCCAGGTCACTTTGCTGTAAAAATGGTGGATCACCCTCTAAGTTAACCCTCAGTAGATGTACTATCAGACTAAAGTGCTTTAGGTTAGAGTGCTTTTTTGAACACCTGTGCCACATCCACCACATGTTAAGCTAAGTTGTGTGTTGCCAGCATCCCAGAAGCCCCTTGCAGGGTGCCATGTTGGCCTTCAGCAGAGCTTGGGAGGTGGGAAAAGGGGTTTCTGTCCCCACAGTCACCCCAGCCCAGGCAGGAGGGCTCCTTTCCCCCAGCTGCAGCCATCAGTGGCAACACAAGTTCCTGTGCCGCTTTTCACTGCTCTGGGAACTCTGGCAGGGGTGAATGGAGAAAGAGCCCTCTGCCAGGTAGGTCCCACCCACCCAGCTTCCCAGGTCAGGTTTTGCCAGGGGCTGCTCCCCACCCCCCCTCCCCTGAGCAAGGGGGCCTCCTTTTCCACCCACCCACCAGAATTCCTAGTGCAATGAAAAGTGGTGCAGGGAACTTGTGCTGCCACTGCTGGCTACAGCTGAGGGAAAGGAGTCCCCCACCCATGACAGTCCCCCTATAGCTCGCTGGCTAGGGGCTGGGCTGGGTCTGTACAGCAGGGGAGGCTCCATTCCCCCAGCCA